AGTGTTTTTACTCCCGGGCGGTTTTACTATTCTCTTCCTCCCTGTTAGAATTCCAGGTTGAGCATCCCAGGCCAAAGACAAGGGAGGACATGACACAAACATGCTTGGCAGGGAAGGCCTCTCAGCTTTCACAGCCCCCTTCTCAGTGAACTCAAACAACACATGACAACTGGAGGACGCTTGACATAAACATGCTTGGGTCTGAAGTGGGGTGGATCTCAGCTCTCACAGCCCCCTTCTCAGTGAACCCAAATAGCACACGACAGCTCACCGGTGTATGGACATTACCATGTCATTCCATACTTCACTCCTACGTGGGTTGTCACTTCCTTTTCTTCCTCCTTGGTATTGTGAGACAAGGTAAGTTCCCTCTATATAACTGAGGCTGCCCTTGAACCATTGATCTTCAGGTCAGTCTATCAAACACTGGTGTGGGCTACTGTGCTTGGCTTCAGTTTTTCCTCTAAAAAATATTTACTTAAGAATATACTTACTTGGGGCTGGAGAGATGGCTCAGAGGTTAAGAGCACTGGCTGCTCTTCCAGAGGTCCTGAGTTCAATTCCCAGCAACCACATGGTGGCTCACAACCATCTGTAATGAGATCTGGGCCCTCTTCTGGCGTGCGGGCATACATGGAGGCAGAATGTTATATACATAATAAACAAATAAATAAATCTTTTTAAAAAAGGAATATACTTACTTTAAAAAAAAAGAACTGGAAAAAAATTAAAAAATAAAAGAACCAACTTTTGGCTTTTTGATCTTATTGAAAAAAATACACTTACTTTTTTTAATTTTTGAGATTATTATTACGCCATTTCTCCCTTCCCTTTCCTTCCTCCAAATCCTCCCATGTTGGGAGCTATAGATCCCTGGTTCCTTGATTTTCTTTGCCTGCCTCACACCCTTTGCCTGCTGGAGTGAACTGAGCAAAACAACTTGTTTTCCTCTGCTCTGAGCAGGAGACCCTGATGGCAGGCTGATAGGTCTGCAGCTGAAAGATCCCAAGAGCTGGGGCGTGACCAGAGCCTTTTATAAGCTTCCCCTGAGCACAATAAACTTGGCATTCTTGTATCAAGAGTGATCCATGTCTCCGTCTCTCTCTCTGTCTCTGTCTCTGTCTCTGTGTTTTTGGGTCTCTCAGCCCAGTACCTGGCTCTCATACTGACCTGTAGCGGCACTAGAGCTACAGGTGTAGTACAGGCATAGTACCGTATAGCACGTAGTACAGATGCCATGTTTTAACAGGACCATTTCGGGGACTAACAGCGGAGGTCCTCAGTGAGATCGGGAACTAAGGGGACACTGAGAGATCGCTCATAATTATATAGAAAAGGGGCATTCTTGGCACTCTTGTCTCAAGACAAGATGTCTTCGTGGCCCGATTTGTCTATCTGTCTCTGTCTGTGTGCATATGATTTTAAATTTTTCATTCCAGTTCCCGTGCACTTAGCGAGTAGAGCGCAGGAGCAGAACTGGTGGAGTTTTACAACTGGAGGCCCTCAGGGGGATTGCCCTCTGGAATGGTGAGGGTGGATTAAAGATGGGTATGTGTTTTATGTGTGTTTGAGTAAGTCTTTAAAGAGGCAGATTATAGACAGTCTGATTATAAGCCACGAAAGGATGGAGTATGTACAGAAATATGTTACTATGTTGTCTTTTGTGTTTCTCTGGAAAAAGACATTTGACTCTGGGAACTGCTAAGAAAGGTACCTTGACTTTAAAATATGGGTCTAAGGATTTGATGCTTTGGAAAAGAGGTTCTGCTTTTGTCTCCACAGAGGATGAGAACCTGTGGGTTCATTCCAGACTAATGTGGTTTGACTCTCCGAGACCCCCTGAAGTGTCGCTGTGAATACCCCAGAGATACAGTGCCCCCAAACAACAGGAAATCGTGTACAGAGAAATGACGCCCAAATTCCCTAAATAATTGTTTACTAGATCTTGGGCTCCTTCTGTGATTCCTGAGCACGGGCTGCTTCCTGGAGTCCCTGTGAGCGGCAGAGGTGTCAGGAGCCGTGGTGGGGAGTGAGGCGGAGGCGTGTAGGCTCCAGCACCGAGGCTAGCTGGAGCCACCCAGACTTTCCTGGGGTTGCCTGTCCACGGCATGAGAAGGCTGCAGTTCCTGGCTCTATGTGCCACTGGTCCGAGTGGCAAGGATGCCTTCCAGCAGTGTAGCTCTGGCAAAATTGGTGCCTGGCCTGCCTGAGAGGGATTGCTGCCTGCCACTGTAGTGGCCGCTCCGGAACTGCCATCATCCAGGTGGCAGTGGGCAGTGGGTCCTGAGACCATGACACAGTCCCCCAAGTGGTGACAGGCAGTCAGCAGCAGGCCCTGAGACCAAGGCAGGCCAAAAAGGCAGCCAGGTCCCAGGCAGGAAGCCATGTGGAGGGTGAGAGATGGAGATGGATAGGCACATCATGTAGAATGAAGTTGGATATTTATTTAGTGGGTTATGGAAGGGAAGGGGAGAAGGAGAAAGAGCAGAGAGCGAGGCAGAGAGAGAGAGAAACAGAGAGGAGGGGAAGGGGAGAAGTGGTGGGGAGAAGGGAGAGATAGAAGCTGCCTCTGACACACACACACACACACACACACACACACACACACACACGGAAAGGCAGCCTGGAAGCTGAAGATCAGCTTGCCATGGAGGACAAGGCAGGGAGTGGGCGTGGCTTGTCTCTTAAAAGGACAGGACAGACCATTACAATACTTTCAAAATGCTTCTATTTTAGCAAGAGCTTCGGATTACGGGCTCCACCTGCTTGATTTCCTTTTTGCTGTCACTTTTTTGCTTTTGTCTATTGCAGCCGTTTGAACCCAGTACCTCTTGCATGCTAGGTGAGTACTCATACTAGGTGAATACTCTAGACCAAGTATTCCCGCACTCTTTTTTTCTTTTTTCTTTCTTTCTCTTTTCCTTTCTTTCCTTTTTTCTTTCTTTCTTCCTTCCTTCCTTCCTTTCTTTCTTTCTGTATTTCACATCTAATTCCATGTACTTCGTTTTTATTTTTTGAGATAGGGTCTCTATGTAGCCCTGGCCATTTTGAAACTCTATGTAGACCGGGCTGTCCTTGAATTCACAGAGACTTGTCTGCCTCTGCCTCCCATGAGAACTGAGATTACAGGCATGGGCCACTATACCTGGCTGCCTTGATGTTTTCAAGATTCAACAGTCAATACACAAATTTCTAGTTCCACAGAGTTTACATTCTAGTTATTTATTGAGACACACTAAAAATGATGACTAAATAAAATGGTCTTTGAAATAATTTAATCTTAAAAAGCAGATAGTAGTTTAGTAATTTTGCAAGGATGAATTGAAAAGATGCTCATGCATATTCATTATATCCATTAAAGTGCTTTACCCTCCGTGAGCCTCTCCAAATTCAGGCTAACTTTTCCTTTTCGTGGACAGCATTAGCGTGGATTTATCTGGTGTGCTATCAGGTTGACCTCTTCCTTAATTGCACAAGGACAATAAACAATGAACTGTCAACAAGATTATGGCCTGACCCTTGAAGAGGAGACAAGAACTCAGTTGGCACCTCACCTCTGTCCCACAGCTGGGAGCAACACAGTACAAACTCCAATTCAATTATTTTCTAAATGCGGTCTATGGACCAGCAACATTAGAATTACTCAAGAGGGCATGTTATCAGGTCCCTACCCCATGGCTACTGAACAAGACTCTCTCAGAGGCTTTGGAATTTGGAATCTAACAAATGTTGAGAGCATACTAAATTTGAGACTCACAAAAAATGGTTTAGTTATATTGGTGTATGGGATTGGAGCACTCTGGCAACTCAGGAACGTTCCTGAAAAGCAAAAACTTAAGCTGTGTGTGAGAGGTTAGAGGGGGAAGGGCTTCTCGCGATATTCCTTCGATGACAAAAATGGTCACTACGTCCCATCTCTCACACTACCAGCATCCCACTACGGTCACGACAATCTGCCCGGCAGTTTCAGCCACTTGACTGTTGCCTGGGCTACAAAATACCACCCTTTCTGCCCGACCCAGGTTACTACACCAGGCCCTAAGACAGAGAGGGGGTTCCGGTTTCCATTGCCAGTACCCAAGATGGCGAAACGAACGTCGCCACCACGGGAGCCACATGCTCCGTGCTTCGCCTCGGTTCCCTTAGGTCTCACTGGACTTTTGCAAGTCACCGTGGGAACCCTCGAGGACGCAATTCCGGGCTCCGACGGCAATACTCCTTTCTCTGCCTGAAAACATCTTATTCCTAGGCACAGCATGCACGAGAAGCCCCCAACATAACACCGCCCACCTGCGACGCAAGGCGGAGGGGCGCAGAATTTCGGACACCAGGGCCTTCGCTCTATTCATTGGCGGGTCCATACCGCGGGGCGGGCCTGCACACTCATTGGGCTGCTCTCACGTCAGTCACGGGAAAACGGGGCCGAGGAGGCGGAGGTACGCTCGGCTATTGGGTTTGCTTTGCTGTCAATCAAGGCGACATCCGGTGACATCGGGAATTCCGGCTAGCTGATTGGAGCACTGTTTCTGGGTGGCCGTGGAGGGCGGGTTTTCGAGCGCAGTGGAAGGAGGGGGCGGGGAGGGAAGCCGAGACTGGGTGCTCCAGGCCGGCCGGAGGTGGCGGCGGCGGCGGCGGCGGTGGCGAGGCCGGGACTCGGGCTGAGGGCCTGCTGTGGCGGCAGCGGCGGACTGCGACCTCAGCAGTGGGTACCCGACACATTCCCTCTCCTGACGGGAGAGCCGCGGCGCAACAGGATCGAAGCTTGTGGGATGAGGGGCGGCGAGACGTGGTTGAGGGGCGGAAGGCAGGACGCGGGAGGCCGAGCGGAGTCCCATTCTTACTCGGGCCCCGGACACGGCAGGAAAGAAACGCGGGGCCGAGCAGAGAGCGTGTTCCTGGGTGGGCTGGGCCGAGCAGGGCCGAGGGCATGGGAGGGCGTGGCGAGGCCGGAATGGAGAGTGGGGTGGGGCCTCGGATCGGAGGGCGGGGTGAGGCTGGCTTTTAAGGGTGGGTCAGGGCCAGGAAAGTAGCACTTGTCGCTCGGAGTCCGGGAAATCTCGAAGCCGAGGCGCCGACCGTGGGCATGGCAGCTTGGTCCCAGCCAGACTCGGGTACGGAGTAGGGTGGGACCGGACTCGAGCCAGGGCGCTCTCTGGCCTTCTTGGCTTTGAAGAACTTTGCCCGCTCTCTCAAACTTAATTGGCACTTGACGAAGTTTTGGTAGTAAATTGCGTGAGGACGGGCGGGTATCGAAAGCAGGAATGTTTACTCAACCGAATGAGGGTGTTCGTGGGTGTGTGTGTGCCTCGTACGTGTAGATCCCACTTAACCTCTGGAGTGAGGTTGATAGTGGGCTACAACCGACGAGTCGCTTTATGAGATAAATGGAAGCTCAAAAGTAGAAACCAGAAACGGAAAGTCAAATTTACCTTCTCCCCACTTGGCAACTTAGCTTGAGAGCTTGGCTTTATCCTTCTGCTTTGGCTCAGAAGGTCATGCGAATAAAGATAAAACCCTGTGAACTGAAGTTCCTGACGGAGCAGGGGCCTACTCCTGTAGGCTCTGATCTCCTGTACCTTTTCTTCCCCTTTTTTTTCTTTTATTTTGCCATACTGGGGATTGAACCGAGGGCCTCTAAGTAGACGCCAATAATCTGTATTCGTGCCCTTTAAACTTTTTCTCTTACTGTTGAACCGGTCTCGTTATTTTGTTCAGGCTGGTCCTACACTCCTGATCTTCATGTTTAAGCTTTCTGTATGGCCTCTGCTTTGTGGCTGGACTTTTTTTTTTTTTTAACGCAAAAATGATAGGAAAGGGAAATTAGCTTTCAAAGTTGAAAAAACAAAAATGGCATTTTTTTCTTCGTGTGAATGGGGGCCTGAACATTCCCGTTTACTTGTCACACGTTTCCCAATAATCTTTCCTTCCTCTTTAAGTTGGAAGAAACAATGACATGGGAAACCAACTTTTTTTTTTAAGCTAGGAAATGGTCGTCTTGTGCTAAAATTAGAAACTGGGTAATGCGTTCTATTAGGAGTGTTGGTAAATGTAAGATATTTTGAATGCCCAGTGTAGTGTCTGCTTCTTCAAAGAAAGCTACTTTTAAGAAATATAATAAATATAGTAATCAGTAAGTGCTCCTTTCCTTCCTTTCATGGTTGGTACAACAGGTTTGGTTTGGGTTTTCCTTGTGAAAGTATCCTTGTAATGCGTTCCCTGCCTCCTCTCTATGTACCTACCCTGATTCTGATGTAAAGAGTGTGTAATCTTACCTTGTTGCTCTCGTGATTCCCACTTCAGGTTTCTCTGGAAACCCCCCTGGTAAGTGCAGAGGAGGCGGGACACTCTGACCCAAGACAAAGACCTGTAGCTCCAGCCAAAGAAAATAAAGCCTAGGAAGGAGAAGGAAGGAAAGAAAGCAAGAAGCAAGAACTGGTCAGCTGCTCTCGCGGACAGCCCGCAGTGGGATCTACAGAGGACACTGATGGGAGGCGGTCTGACTGGATGTGGACTGAAGACAGGAAACTGAGAGGGCCTTGAGGGCCTGGACTGGGTTAGCAACAGCTGAACTTTGAGAGGTGAGGTGTCAAGAAGGGAAAAGTGAATGTGGTCTGGAGTGTGGCTTTTGCTCCGCAGGGCATTTTTTCCTCTGGGGCCATCAGGGAGCTCAGCCCCTGTGGTGTCCAGGGTGGGGTACAGGGTCTCGCACTGAGGAGGGTAACCTGCCGGCTGGAGTGGCAGAACAGTGGCCTTGATTTGTCTGGCGGAAGATTTAAAAACAAAAAGGCATAAGCATTCTGGTCCTTCAGCAATGCTTTCTCTGAAGAAATACTTAACGGAAGGACTTCTCCAGTTCACCATTCTGCTGAGTCTGATTGGGGTTCGGGTGGACGTGGATACTTACCTGACCTCACAACTCCCCCCACTCCGGGAGATCATCCTGGGGCCCAGCTCTGCCTATACCCAGACCCAGTTCCACAACCTGAGGAATACCTTGGATGGCTATGGTATCCACCCCAAGAGCATAGACCTGGACAATTACTTCACTGCCCGGCGACTCCTCAGTCAGGTGAGGGCCCTGGATAGGTTCCAGGTGCCTACCACTGAGGTAAATGCTTGGCTGGTTCACCGGGATCCAGAGGGGTCTGTCTCTGGCAGCCAGCCCAACTCAGGCCTCGCCCTTGAGAGTTCCAGTGGCCTTCAAGACGTGACAGGCCCAGACAACGGGGTGAGAGAAAGTGAAACGGAGCAGGGATTCAGTGACGATTTGGAGGATTTGGGGGCTGTGGCCCCTCCTGTCGGTGGAGACCTAACCAAAGAGGTTAGTGGTCTTGGGGTTGTGGTGGGTCTGGATGTTGGGGAGGAGTGGGCTAGTTCTGAAGGCCTGTTGGCTTCACTTTGAGTCCTTTAAAGGAACTAAATAGATTGGGGTCAGGGGTTTGAACCTCTGGCACTGCTTGGATAGGATTGGGCTGAATTGTTGGGAACTGGGAGGAGCATTTCCATATTTTGAACCATTGACCCACCTCTGAGTATATTGTCAGGGTAGGGTGGTTCTTAGAACATACCAGGGTTTTTGCTGCTTAGATTTCAGTATGACTGCTGGAAGCTTTGGGGGGGGGGGCATGTTATGACTGGATTTGATTGAGTGTATATTGTCTCTACACGTACTGTGTGGCATTAAAACACGGATGCTGTACCTTAAAGTTCTCCATTGTGTTTAGGCCTGTTGTTGTAAACTCCCTTTAGCTCTCCTGGGCTTGAGCCAAGTAGACTTGGATAGTTATTCTTGGCCAGGAGAGGCCAAGGCTCCCATTTTTTGCTAAAGACCTGCTGTGGGGAGTAGAGCCGAAAAGGCTGGAAGCTAGAAGAGCTTGTTCTGAGCTGTTAGAGGTGATCTTCACCTCCTGGGTAGAAAAGGGTGCAGTTCCTTTCCTTCAGTGATAGAAATGGCTACTGCTGCCCGTCTGACCTAGGTAGTGAAACAACTTTGGCTTGCCACAAGCCCTAGGAGCTCAAAAAAGATCCACTGCTCTATGGCCCTGGGTTGATTAATGTGAGAGGCTAGCTGACTGCAGAGCTTGACTTCTCTGCCCATCTTCTCAGACCACATTTTTGTCTCCCTTCTTGCATTAAGCAATTCATTATCTTTTTGGTGACCAATAGGGTTCTCATTTAGTTTTTTTTTCTTTTTTTTTCTTCTTTATCATAGCTGTGGGGAGGGAGATGCTCCTGGCATCTGATAGACAGGGCCAGGATGCTGCTGACACTCTTAAACAACACAGGGTGGCCTCAGACTACGTAGTTAAGGAGATTGGGAAAGCCACTGAGATTAATTAGCTCTTACTGGATCTGTGTGAGAAAGGCTGGGATTGTCTGATCTTGGAGGTCAGGACCATTTTCTGCACATCAGGACCTTTTGTCTTACATCCTTTCAAATTTTATGTTTTTGAGATGGTCTGGCTGGCTTGGATCTTGCTATATAGACCAGAGAAGCCTTGAATTTATGACCTTCTCCTGCCTTTACCTCTGCCTCTCAAATGCTGGGATTATAGGGCTGCCCCAAGTGGGGCAACATCTTAGATTCTTGCACTGTCACTTAGAACTTCACCTTTTTCTGCTTCTCCTTACCCTGTCTTTCAAACGGGTTTCTAAAGTTCAGTGACCTAATGAAACCCTGTTTCTGCCCCACGTGGCATGGGACGAGTCTTTTCCTGAGAACGCTACAGGATTTAGCTCTTCAGGGAGATTTTTGAGGGGTATAGAATGTTTTAGGTGTGACTGGGTGTGTTGGGGCAGAATGGCATGGAGTTTGGTATCTGCTTTCCTGTTCTTAGCCATTAAGAAAGTTGTTTTCCTTGACCCTAGGCCTTTACCACTCCCTTTGGGAAGTTGGGTGGGTCATGCTTGAGGGACCCAGGCTTGGGAGGAGGGAAGGGAGGCTTATGATGTGCCTAGAACAACATTTCCTCAGTAACTCAGGGATAAAAATACCCAGGTCTAGAGCATGTGACAGGCACTGCTGGAACTGGTATTATCGCTGGGGTGGCAGTGCTCCCTGCTGCCAGGCCTGTTCGATGGACAGCCATAGCTTAGGTCCTTGTCAGGGATAGGATTCCCCTCCAGGCTGGCATCCTGCCCAGAGCAAGGGGTGGCCTGTTTACAGCTCTTCCTGGGCAAGAAGTAGGCTGTAACCAAGGGAGGACACACTGTCTCTCTGGCCTGACCTTAGGCTCTGGGGGAGTAGTATGAGGTGAAAGCTGTTGCCCTCGAGAAAGCAATCCAGGAGGCAGAATTGTGATTTCAAGTCCCAGTTCTGCCAGGTTTTACCTCCTCCCTTGCTAGGAGAGATACTAGTCAGGTTTGAACACCAAATGCTTGCTCTTTCTTTTCTTTCTTTTTTTGCCTTCTTGAGCTCCCCACCCGCACCCCAAGTTGTTCTTTAAAAAAGCTAAAATGAAAGGAGGTAACTGGCATATTTGGGACCTGGATGGTACCCAACGCCTGTCTCTCTAAGGCGAGGACTCAGAATTGTGTGTCTCTCACCTTTTGTTAGAGGCTAGGCCTGGCCTGTACTGACATGTCGCATGTGTGTAATAATGGCTTTCCCTTTCCTCCAGTGTGGCCTTCTGGCCTGTTTTAAGGTGACAAAGCTCCTGGACCTTTTTTTCTTTTGGCTTGGGTGCACTGGGTTCCTGCCCAGCCTGGCTTGTGATCCTTTGCCTTGAGGACTGGCCACAACCTTCTTAAGGAATGGGAAAACTCCTTCCACTTCCCAGCAAAGAATTTAGTTTCTGGAGGAGTGTCTGCCCAGTCACAGGAGTGGGCTGGGAGAGCAAGATGCGACAGGATGGAGGGAGGGAGGGAGGGAGAGGGGTTCCCCCCCCCCCCCAGGACTCTCTCACTGCACCACCCCAGCTGATTGACTGGGCTGGGTGGGGCTGCCCGCCCCTGGGTGCATCTCCTCAAGGAGACGGAGGCGGCCCAGGGATGGGCCGGTTCCTTGCGGCAGCTTCTCCAGCTGCCCTGGTGCAGAGATTGGCTCCCTTCTGCAGCTAGGTAACAGGCGGTGGGAGGGGATTGGCTCCTTCCGCATCTCCAGCGGAGACTTGGGGGAGGAGATTGGCTCCCGGCGCAGCCTAGGTAACGACAGTGGGAGGAGATTGGCTCTTTCCGCAGCCCCAGCTGCTGACCTGGGGGAGGGGATTGGCTCTCTGCAGCCTCAGCAGTGACCTGCGGGGTGGGAGGGGGAGGGGATTGGCTCCTTGCGGCAGCCTAGGTAACAAGTTTGGGGGGCGTGGGGAGGGGGGAAAGGGAGGAGCGGGAGGACAGGCCCAGGAGGTAGCTCGTTTTCCTCTGCAGCGTGAGCACGGAGCATGGGGTGGGAGTCCCGACTCACTGCAGCCTCTGCGGTGAGCTCAGGGTGGGGGCTGCTGGGCGCTTGAGTGGAACTGGGGTTGTGAGGTGGGAGGGGGCTGCTCCAGGATGGAGGAAGGGGGCTGGGCTGGGCCGCCCAGGCAGCAGCACGGGCGGGGCACCTTCCTCGGGCCCCTCGGAGCTACCAAGGGGCCACCCTTCCAGCCTGGTGTGCTTCCTGCAAGCCACGAGCTCCTTGCAGCCCCCTGCCCGGCTTACCGGCATCGGCTGCCCTGGGGCTCCTCTCGCAGACCATGACCCGCCTGGACCGCAGCTCTCACAGTGGTGGGGGCCATGCCAAAGACAGGCCCCTTAACTCTTGGCTGGCTAGTCACCGGGTGGCCCAGCCCCCCTCTGCTCCTGGGTCCAGGGCTTCTGTTCAGGTTGGTGTATGGTGGGAGACTCAAGGGAGAGATCCATGTGGGAGGTCTTAGGATGGGGTAGGTGGTAGGAAAGTACAGTCCCTGCCTGGGGGTTGGGAGGTGGGTCTGGTCTAAAGATACCTTTAAGTGGAAAGCGTGTGCTTTTACATCCCTGAATGGAAGGTGACACTTGAGGGTCTCTTCAGGCTTGTTGGGAGGACTCCTAAAGGGAGGAGTATATATAGGAAGTCCAAATGGCTCTATTGGGGTTCTGTGCTGATGTCAGTGGGGGTGGCAGTTGGTGCAGGAACTGTCTAGGAGCCACAGAACAAAGTGGAAGGAGGCATTTTAATGTCCAAGGTTGCAGTCAGAGCTCAGCAATGATGAGAGTTATGTCCTTGAGTGGATTGACTGATGGGGAGCTGGTGAGTCCTGGGGTGTGGTATGGGAGGGAGGAATGGAGGTAGCATTGGTGTAAGGGAATACAGTAAAATTAGCTTGAACAGGGATGGAGTGTGTAGTGGGGATCATCTGACTGTCTGAGGTTCCCTTGGGATTGAGGCAGCTTGCTAGGATCAGTTGAATTCTGTCAGGGACAGAGCTTGAGGTGAGACTGGGCCTTTAATAGTTGTGGATGTTCAAGCTTACTCCAGCTGTCAACCAGTGAAGGGGGAATGGCTGTAGGAAGGGCTGGGGACAGCCTGTCGTTGTCATTGGTTGCATCAGGTGGTTGGAAATGCAGGGATTTTCCTCTCCAGGCCACCCCACCCCTTTATGCAAATGCAGTGGCACCACAGGCTGATGCAAGCCTGGTCACTGCTAAGCAATTCCACAGGGCAGTTTGCCCTTGTTTGCCGTGGTCAGACAGTCTGTTTTCAGGGTCTCTTATTCCTAAAATGAGAGGGGTCTCTTGCTTCCTCCTCTTCCTTATTAGAGGTGATGCAGTCCTGCCCTTTAGCTTGGGTGTGACTCTGGCCCACATGCTAAACCCGAAGACCTGTGTGACGCTAGATATGTTAGTAGTTTTTACTAATGGCTCTTTTTTTGGTGGAAGATTGCCTGGGAATGGACGAGTGATGCCTTACTGGTCAGAGAAAGCAAGGGAGAAAGGTTGACAGGCACAGGCCTGGGTAGAGCCCCACCCAGGACCAACTGGAGTGTCACTAGGTGGGGACCTCTGAGGGAGCAGGACTGGGAGCTCTCTCCCCTTGGAGCAGGGGCTGCTTGAAAGCTAAAGTCATCTTGGTCTGTCTTTTAGGATATAGATCTGATTGACATCCTTTGGCGACAGGATATTGATCTGGGGGCTGGGCGTGAGGTTTTTGACTACAGTCATCGCCAGAAGGAGCAGGATGTGGATAAGGAACTGCAAGATGGAAGAGAACAAGAGGACACCTGGGCAGGCGAGGGCGCGGAAGCTCTGGCCCGAGACCTGCTAGTAGATGGAGAGACTGGGGAGAGCTTCCCTGCACAGGTATTGCTACGTCCAACACTGGTCTCTGCTCTCCCAACTTCAACTCCGCAGACTCACCAGGCTGGAGCTCTAACAGAAAACTTGCCCTGAAGGAGAGTTGTGTCTTTGCGGTGGACTTGATTGTATTTCGGCATAGGGTCTGTAAAGGCACAGTGACTGGGGTATGGAAGTGGGGAGGGGAGGAGCAGTGGACTCAGAAGCACTAGGTCTCTGCAGTAGACATTGCAGACAGGTGAAGTGTCTAGCATCTTAGGACACTTTTGTTGTCCTTGGGAGCATGGGACTCAGGTTGACCATTCAGAATGACTGGGACCCTGCAGACGTACAGCGGTTCTTGTGAAGTTGTATCAATCCTAGATAGCCAGGGCCCAGGCCAGTCAGATTTATAATTGCTATTGCCACAGGTGCCTGGTGGGGAGGATCAGACAGCCCCATCCTTGGAAAAGTGTCTTAGGCTGCTGGAGGTCACCTGCCCCTCTGGAGAGAATACTAAGGTGAGCAGAACCAGAAAGCTGAGCAAGTAGTACAACATGCACAACACACACCCCTTAGCTGCAGGTCAGCTCTTGATTCTGGCCTTAGCCTGACTGCTGGGGATGAATTCAGAGGAAGAGACAGGGAGCCGGATGGCAGTTACTAGTGAGAAAGCAAGAGGTGGTCTCCCCACATTTAAGTCTGTGCTCTGCCTTAGTTCCCTCCAGACGTTTCCAGTATCACAGAAGCAGTGCCTAGTGAGAGTGAGTCTCCTGCCCTTCAGAACAGTCTTCTATCTCCTCTTCTGACGGGGACAGAGTCACCATTTGATTTGGAACAGCAGTGGCAAGATCTCATGTCCATCATGGAAATGCAGGTAGGACTGTCAGAAAAGCACAGCCTGCAGGCTTCTGTGTAGGATCTCCCAGTGTGCAGTCATGTGTTCCCCGGTGGCTAACATTTTTCTCTGGCTAGTCATTAGGAAAGTAGGGACACTTAAGGGATGACTCTAGGTGTCCCTTGGGCTGGGTGGGATTGAGTTATAACTCAGTATGGAGCCTTCCAAAGCATGGGCTTCTTGGAGTTGTTCCTTCTCTTGTGTCTATGCCACTATGTGGCATCTCACATAGTGCTGTATAACCATTGGAGTCTCGCTTTGGCCTGCCGGCCATCTGCTTAGCCCTTTATTGTCTTGTTTGCAGTGCTGGGGGTGGAGCCCAGGGTCCCTGCTAGGCACATGCTCCACCACTGAGCTCGCTTTAGCCCTCTGTTGTTAACTGTTGGCAGTGGAAGGTCAGAAATGTCTGGCGACTGATCCACTTGTGGTCGCAGCAAGCTTTGCGGCACGTTTTCTTACCTATATTTGGATATGTTCACTGTATGTGCCATTTCACTCCAAGATAGGGGAGTCACTCTAGGCACACATGAGCAGGAGCTAGTCAGTCCTGCATTAGGGTGAGCCCATAGTTAGGAATCCCCTGTGCCAAGCTTACTGGTTTAAGCTAGGGGTTTTGCTGTCTAGTTTCTTACTCTTTTGCCCAGGGAGCTGTGCTTCAGTCAGGAGCCTGCAGGGTGTGAGTCTGCTCCTTTTGAATGCTGGTACAATTCTCCCTCCCTTCCAGGCTATGGAAGTGAATACATCAGCAAGTGAAATTCTGTACAGTGCCCCTCCTGGAGACCCTCTTAGCACCAACTACAGCCTTGCGCCCAACACTCCTATCAATCAGAATGTCAGCCTGCATCAGGCATCCCTGGGGGGCTGCAGCCAGGACTTCTCCCTCTTCAGCCCCGAGGTGGAGAACCTACCTGTGGCCAGCAGCTCCACACTGCTTCCACTTGTCCCGAGCAACTCTACCAGCCTCAACTCCACCTTTGGCTCTACCAACCTAGCAGGGCTTTTCTTTCCATCCCAGCTCAATGGCACAGCCAATGATACATCAGGCCCTGAGCTGCCTGACCCCCTGGGGGGCCTGTTAGATGAAGCTATGCTGGATGAAATCAGCCTGATGGATCTGGCCATTGAGGAGGGCTTCAACCCGGTGCAGGCCTCCCAGCTTGAGGAGGAGTTTGACTCTGACTCAGGCCTCTCCTTGGACTCCAGCCATAGCCCTTCCTCCCTGAGCAGCTCTGAAGGCAGCTCTTCTTCCTCTTCCTCCTCCTCTTCTGCTTCCTCCTCTGCCTCTTCTTCCTTTTCTGAGGAAGGTGCTGTTGGTTACAGCTCTGATTCTGAGACCCTAGATCTAGAAGAGACCGAGGGTGCAGTGGGCTACCAGCCAGAATACTCCAAGTTCTGCCGCATGAGCTACCAGGATCCTTCTCAGCTCTCTTGCCTTCCCTACTTAGAGCATGTGGGCCACAATCACACATACAATATGGCACCTAGTGCCCTTGACTCTGCTGATCTACCACCACCCAGCACCCTCAAGAAAAGTAGCAAGGAAAAGCAGGCTGACTTCCTGGACAAGCAGATGAGCCGAGATGAGCACAGAGCCCGAGCCATGAAGATCCCATTCACTAATGACAAAATCATTAACCTGCCTGTAGAGGAATTCAATGAGCTGCTGTCCAAATACCAGCTGAGCGAGGCTCAGCTGAGCCTCATCCGGGACATCCGGCGCCGGGGCAAGAACAAGATGGCTGCACAGAACTGCCGCAAGCGCAAGCTGGACACCATCTTGAACCTAGAACGTGATGTGGAGGACTTGCAGCGAGACAAGGCCCGATTGCTCCGAGAAAAGGTAGAGTTCCTGCGGTCACTGCGACAGATGAAACAGAAGGTCCAGAGCTTATACCAAGAAGTATTTGGGCGGCTGCGGGATGAGAATGGGAGGCCCTACTCGCCCAGCCAGTATGCGCTTCAGTATGCTGGGGATGGCAGTGTCCTCCTCATCCGTCGCACGATGGCTGACCAGCAGGCCCGGCGACAGGAGAGAAAACCAAAGGACCGGAGGAAGTGAGCCTGGGGAGGCAGGGGGTGGACGCTCACTAAGACCGAAACTGGAGAAGGGCTGGGCCTGGACCTAACATTGGGGACTTAAATGCCTTCTTATCCAATATATCTTCTCAGATGGGATGACTGCGGGTCAGTGCACAGAAGAGGCGGGCGCAGGCGCTGTCTGGCTTAGCTTCCCCACTGGGTGTGGGGAATGACCAGACTGTTTGAGTGATTGGGGTCCCTAGCCTATCTCCCTTCTTTCTCCTGAGGGAAGGGTGATGTTGGCATGCTGAAGGTAGAGGAGGAGGCTGTGTCTGAAGGCTGACAGAGGGGAAAGGAGGACTTGGGAGAGCAGAGAAAGTAGTGGAACGTCTCATTCCTGGAAGGAAAAAAGGAGGAAATCCCCTAAAATCAAAGCAGTCAGAAAAATCAGAGGGACTGACCGGTAAGGGCTTTGGCCGGCATTCTAGGCAGTGAGTGTAAGTGACTCCAGTGGGCCTAAGTAAAGTCACTGGTATGGAAACAGACATGGTGGGGCCGTGGAAGAGCCTTTTAACTGTTTCTTGAACTCTGTCATCCCTGAAGAGGAAGAAACTCTTGGATGGCACCTATAATGTTTTAGTTACTGAAACAGGAAGCTGTAGGGGACCCAACACTGACTTGTTTTCAGGCCAGAGGGGGCAGAGGGTATAGAAAAATGATAGTGAGGCCTGTGTTGCAGCAGCCCCAACATCAAGCATGTCACTCACTGCCGCCACAGCCACCTCCCTCTCTAGCCACCCCAGAGCTGAGGCTCCCGCTGTCCTCACGAGAGCCTGCATGGAAATGCTGTACCCCTCCCACTCTCCTCCTTTTGTAGTACCCACCCTCACTAGCTGCCTATAGCTCTCTGGAGTGGGGTGCTATTCTGGCAGTACCCGGAACTTGGCCTACAGCTTCCTCTGCAGGGGCTAAACAGAAGTAAGGTGATGGTATGGAGGGAGAAGCCAGCTCTGACCTCCAGGCACTGTTCAGCACAACATTGGGAAGGGGATCTTCCCTCAGGGCCCTCTGCCTACTAACACCTGGGCTTGTCACTGGGGGAAACAAAAACCTATAAACCCCAGCAACAAAACCTAGTCCTCTTAGAATTTCTTGCGCTTTGATTTTTTTAGGGCGTGTGCCCTGTTTCACTTATAGGGCCTAGGATGCTTGTGTTGAGTAAAAAGGAGATGCCCCAATATTCAAAGCTGCTAAATGTTCTCTTTGCCATAAAGACTCCGTGTAACTGTGTAACACTTGGGATTTTTCTCCTCTGTCCCGAGGTCTTGTCTTGTTTTCTTTTTTGGGTTTCTTTCTAGGAAAATGAGAAGTGCATGAAAGGGGCTGGAGATTTTTCTCCCCTAGGCTGTCAGCTTCAGGAAGCTGCTTTACAGCCTGTGTAGCCTGGGCTCCTGAAGGACAGCCCTGGGAGAGAGAGTGAAGGGCAGCACCAAGGTAGCCAGATGGTTCCAGGACCAGTGTCTTTTTTTTTTTTTTTTCCTTTTCTTTTTGGTAACTTTGCCACTGCCGAGCCCCCACCCCCCATCCTGGTCAGCTCTGGAGTACTGTCTGCCCCCTAACTAGCAGGGGTGAGTTGGGGAAGCACTGATTCTCCTCCTGTGCAAGGAGGGCTTTCCTAACCGAGAATAGAGATAGAAAGTGTGAGCCTGGGCGTGCTTTTTATAAATTATTTTCCTTGTAGATTTTATTTTTAATTTATCTCTGTGACCTGCCAGGGAGAGGAGAGAAAAGAGAAATGCTGTGAGCACATGACAAAATAAAATCAAATAAATGATGGTTCAGTTTTTCTCTCCCCCTCCGCTTTTGAATTCAAATGAGAGTCCAGGAAATGGGCCCTGTGGGGGAAGATGGGCCATTGTGTGTTTAAGGTAGTGTTCCCATGGAGAGGTGGGTGGACGTGGACAGAGGGAGACTTAAAGACAAAAGAACATTGCATTGAACTCCCGCACAGGTGGATGTCTTCCTGGTTTATCAGTTGAGCCTTCTCACAGGAAGGAGTCTGCATAATTTCTTTTTTTGACTTTCCATTTCTCGAAGAGCTAAGATAGAGCTGTTAATTTTTCTAGTAGCTTTACCTGCTAGAGAGGTACAACTTGAAAATTTAAGAAATTAGTTGGGTGGTGGTATGGGCAGGCGAATCTCTTGAATTTGAGGCCAGCCTGGTCTATACAGTGAGTTCCAGGACAGCCAGGGCTACACAGAGAAACCCTGTCTTGGAAACACCCCCCCCCCAAAAAAAAAGGGCTGCTATCATTAACCCATTACCCTAAGACAGAGAGAAGCAGCAGCAGACAGATCAGGCCTTAGTTTTGTTTTTTTCGAGACAGGGTTTCATCTGTAGCTTTGGAGTCTGTCATGGAACTTGCTCTTGTAGACCAGGCTGGCCTCAAACTCACAGAGATCCGCCTGCCTTTTCCTCCTGAGTGCTAGCATTAAAAGGTATGCACCACCACCATCTGGCTAGGCCTTAGTTTTGACCAGCCCACCTCTGCAGTGGGATTTTGGGTGGACATGGGGAAAACTTGCTTTGTCTTGGTTCAGCAATCAGTCCCTAAACTTCATCCAAAAGATTTTTCCATGTGTTACTCTTGAGAGAAAGAGACTGGCTAACCGACTGCTCAGTATGGGTCTCACCAGCAAAGCAGAGCCTATTTCAGTATCTGAAAAGAAACTAGCTCGTCACTGTGCATAGTGGCTATGTACCTGTAATCCCAGCACTCAAGGTACTAAGCCTGGGTTGTATAGTGAGACCATTAGGACCCACATAGTTTGGGGGCTGGCTCTCTAGAACCCACTTTCAAGCATGGCACAGAAACATTTAATATTTTTAACTTTTTTTTTTTTAAGATTTATTTATTTATTATGTACAGTGTTCTGCCTGCATGTATACCTGCAGGCCAGAAGAGAGCATCGGATCTCATTACAGATGATTGTGAGCCACCATGTGGCTGCTGGGAATTGAACTCAGGACTTTTGGAAGAGCAGCCAGTGCTCTTAACCTCTGAGCCATCTTTCCAGCCCCCACATTTTTAATTTTTTTTGTTGTATGGATGTCCTGTCTGCATGTATGTCTATGTACATGTGTGCCTGGCGCCTAAATCCTAGATCCTATGCAAGTGCTTTTTTTTTTTTCCTTCCTTTTTTGAGGTTTTCGAGACAGGGTTTCTCTGTAGCTTTGGAACTTTTGCTGTAGACCAGACTGGCCTCAAACTCACAGAAATCTTGCCTGCCTCTGCCCTCCTGCGTGCTGGGATTAAAGGCACTAGCAACAACCTTTTGTTTTTGTTTTTTTTTTTAAAGATAGGGTTTTTCTGTAACCTCTGCTGTCCTGGAACTCAGAAACCCACCTGCCTCTACCTCTTGAGTGCTGGGATTAAAGGTACGAGCTCCACCACCCAGCTAACAAGTGTTCTTAACCATCCATGGGTTTTTCCCAGATTGGCCTCCAACCCATGGCATTTCTCTCCTGCCTTAGTCTCCCAAGTGCCAGGATTTCAGGTATGTATTACCACTCCTAACCAGGTATGGAAATTCTGTAGCAAAATCCTTACACCCTAGTATCAGGAGTGGTTAAATCTGCTTTTCCTGTCATTGATCCATGTGGTTAAGTAAGGAGTGCCCACAAACTGACTTGTCATTTTATCAGTGTACGATGCTGAATCAGCACCTTTAATCCTTTGTCTTCCTCACATGTCAGAACTTGCCCTCTGGTTTTGAAATCTGTAGTTAGTTGCACATAAATGTTTATAGGGTCCCTTGGGTCTGTGTGAAAGGAGTACAGTCTAGCCCTGGTCTTTCTAGTGCTTCTTTTGAAGGGTCCTGTCTGCTGCACAGGTTAAAAAAAAGCATAGTGCTGGGCAGTGGTAACGTTCACCTTTAATCCCAGCACTCGGGAGGCAGAGACAGGCATATGTCTGAGTTTGAGGCCAGCCTGGTCTACAGAGTGAGTTCTAGGACAGGCTCTAGAGCTACAGAGAAACCCTGTCTTGAAAAATCAGAGAGCTTGCTAAAAAAGTATTTTTGTTAAATTTGTTTTTCGAGACATGGCCTTACTATATAGTTCTGGCTGACTTGAAACTCGTATGTGGACCAGGATGGCCTTGAACTCTGGATGCCTGTCTCCTGAGTATTGGGATTAAGAAAGATGTGTACCACCATGCTTGGCCTTAAAAATAATAATAATAAAATTATATTTATCTTTTAGATAAGTATTTATATAGCCCAGGCTAGCCTCATACTCATGACTATCTTCCTGAGAGAGCCTCCTGAGTGCTGGGTTTATTGGTGTATGCCACCAATGCCTTTTATTTTTTAAACTTATGTTTTTCTATAATGTGTATATTGTGTGTGGTGCAGGTGCCCATGGAAGGCAGAAGGGGGGGGGTCAGATGCCCTGGAGTCATAGGTATTTAAGGCATTAGGTGCTAGAAATTGAATTTGGGTCTTATCTATAACTGTTAATCCATTTCTTTTACACTCCCCAAGACTTTTTCATGTAGCCTAGGCTAGCCTCAAACTTTGTAGATAGCCAAGAATGACCTTGAACTTCTGATCCTCCTACCTCTTGACCTGGTTTATGTAGTGCTTAGGACCAAACCTAGGGCTTTGTACATAGTAGGCAAGGCTTGCTGAGTCACATTCCTAGCCCCCACACAGTCTCTACCTTTTGTTTGAATGAGTTTGAAACTACTGGCCATCTCTTCCAATCCTCAGATATGGGCTGAAGTAGTAATTAGTAATTGAAACAGTGGACTATTGTGTCAGTGCCAGGCCTCAAAGTTGGCCAGCTTGACCTTAGACTATGCAAACAAAAAACGGCAAGCTTGGTTAAAGTAAAAATACAGTTTAAAAATCCATTTGGGGGGGCTGGAGAGATGGCTCAGCGGTTAAGAGCATTGTCTGCTCTTCCAAAGGTCCTGACTTCAATTCCCAGCAACCACATGGTGGCTCACAACCATCTGTAATGAGGTCTGGTGCCCTCTTCTGGCCTGCAGGCATACACACAGACAGAATATTGTATACATAATAAGTAAATAAATATTTTTAAAAATCTATTTGGGCCCAGGCAAATTGGCCAGCACTTGGGAGGCAGAAGCAGGTAGATCTCTGTGAGTTTTATAGCAGCACAGTCTATATACATAGTATATAGTAACTTTTTTGATAGCCAGGGCTATATAGCAGATCCCTGTCTCAAAATAAATAAATGAATGAATTTTTTAATTTGGCTCCTAACATCTATGTCATGTGGCTGACAACCACTTGTAATTCCAGCTCCAGGGTATCTGGCCTCTTTAGGCACCCTCAAACATTGTGCACACACATACATATAAATTAA